TGGAAGCATGGAAGAAGTGGGAAAAGGACAGGGAGGGGAATGATGTAATCAATACTCAGCACAGATTACCAACATATATATATATATATATATATATATATATATATATATGACTTAACACACACATGTAACATGCATATACAAGAACCCAAAACATGGGAATAGGATTGTCATGCTGGCTCAGCAGGTGAAATTACTTTCTAACATGTAGGTCAGAGGAGTGATGTAGAGAGAAGAAAACAGAAGATGGTATATTGAGAGTGGTCATGAAAAGGGCAGACAGGGACTAGAACAGGGAACTATCCATGTGGTGAGTTGTAGGCTAAAATACCGAGTTATTTAAACAGAATTTATGGCTTCCATCACTGGTTAAGTGGTTCTGATACAAGGAGGCTGTGGAGTCCCTCCCTCAGTAAAGTCAAATGAATAATATGTTAAGGGAAAAATATTGATTCAATGTATTATAGGACAAAGTGTTCATGTAATTCCTAATATTCAATGAACTGTCATTTTTAGTTTCAACTATAATTATTAATGCATTATTTTACAAAGTACTGATTTTCACCGTAACATTTCCATGTGTGTGAAAAGAGGCATTGCTGTACTACTGCATTAGATTCTCAGAGATGCACTTCACTTAGAGGTGACTAACACTAAAGACACAGAACCTGACAGGTACTTATACTAAGCTACTGGGATTAAGCCATGAGAATCACAGTAACTCCTAATTTTGTTCTAGTTAATTGGTCCTCGCCACATGAAGACCCACTACCACATGTTCCTGTCACCTTTCATTTCCTCCTTGATGAACTGCAACCCAGTGAAACTGAAACAAAATAAAGTCCCTTTCTCTTAAACAATAGTAACTGGGAGGCTGCTCCAGCAAAAGCCTAAGCTTGAAACTATAAGAGAAGTCTCATGTCATTATTTATACTTCAAGTAGGTCCGTGAAGACCTGCAATGCTAACAAGCACTATGACCGGTTAGAACCTATGATCCACATGGTAGAAGAGAACCCACTCCTGCAATTCATCCTCTGACTTTCACATGTGTATTATAACAATACACACCCTCTACATACACAAAATAAATAGATGTAATAAACAAATCAAGACTTTATGAAAAGGACTCACTTTGATAGCTCAGGATTAATTCCAGGAACTGACAAATGGGACTGTAAGAAATTAAGATGCTTCTGCACAACAAAGGAACCAAGCACCGGAGGGAAGCAACAGCATACAAAATCAGAGAAGACCCGTGCCAGCTACAGTGATGATGGGGGTTAATACTTAAAAATGTATAAAGGATTCAGAAACTTAAACAAAAAAAACCCAAATCATCTGATCAATATATAGGCAAATGTATTGAACATGTAGTTCTCAAAAGAAGAATATATGTGGCAATAAATATGTGAAAAAGTACTCAATATCCTCAGTCACCAGAGAAAGCTAAGGTAAAGTGTCCTGAAGAGTATATCTCACCCCACTCGGAATGGCTATCACCAAGGGAAAGTGGCTGCAAGCATATGTGAGGATGTGGCAAAATGAAAACCTTTCTCGCTGCTAATGGGAATATAAACATGTATACCCGTCATGGAAAGTGGCACCATGTTTCTGAAAGAACTGAATCCGCTTTACTACTGAGTGTACACATAAAGGAATCTAAGCAAACTAGAGACACTGGCACATCCATTATACTGAGGAATTATTCACAATAGTTCAGATAAGGAACCAGGCCACATTCCCATAAAGAAGAATGACTAAAGAAAATGTGGTATATATATTCAAAGTGTATGCTATTCAGCCATAAAGAAGAATGGAGTTGTGCTATTTGCAGTAAATTGATGGGAGTAGATGTCATCATATTAAGTGAAATAAGCCAAAGAGAAAGGAAAATATTACACTTTCTATGATTTGTCAAATCTAAACTTAAATGTATATAAAAATGTTTAACTAGTATACAGAATGAAGGGGCCTAAAATGAGGGAAGGTGGAATAAACAAGGATAAAGTAGAAAAGAAAAATGAAATGTAAATGGAGAATTGATTTAATAAAATCCAGAGGGCATGAACATTAGAACTTTCTAAGTTTGAGACAGTTTTCATACATCTGCATGATAACTTCAGATTAGCATACTATTTTTCATGCTACTCTTCCTAAAACTATCTCAAAATGACTGTAGGGTTTCAGAACGTTATAAAATAGTACAAAGAATATCCTGAGGTTCAAACTGTCATGTTATCACCACCCAGGTTACAGAACTCAATTGGTTTCTTCTCAACTTTCATTTGTGTATGTGTGTGTGTGTTTGTCTGTGTGCATGCACACAGATGTGCATATACAGAGCTCTGTGTGGTTTGATCCCATGTGAGTATCTGAGTGCCCTGGATAAGCAGGCCACAGAGCTGCTCCACCAGCACTTATGCCTTTTTATATTTGCTCCCTGAGATACTAGCCATTCCCCAACATATATTCTTGGTGACCATCTTAATAGGTAAATCTTTTTAATGTAATAATTCATCTAATTCTTTCTACAGTGCTTTACTGAAGTGTAACAGACATACAGAAAGCTGCATATACATAAGGCGCACAAGCTGGCCGCTTCTGACATCTGCATAAGCCCTTAAACCAATACAAAGAGACTGAACATATCCAATAATGCTTGGTAGTATTTCATTCTGGTTTTATTTATATTTCCCTAATTATTTTTATATGTATTTCTACCAGCAAAAATACTGAGAGTATATATTCACATCTCCTTTGGAAGATAAGCTATGGTAGTTACTGTTTGTAAATATGAAGCAAAGGTTGATACTTTAACAAATTTACTCCAAAATATTACTAAATGTTCAATATTTTGGGACTTCTTAGATCAATATATTTCTAGTTTAACAGCAATCTTTGGCCAATCACTTCAATTCAAATTATGATTATGCATAAATTTTGAATTTTAAAATATCAAAGCTTGTTTTGGAAAAGTCAGTTGTTATTAAACCAACTTTTCTATGACCCAAATGAAATTATGTGACAGCAAAACTGATTGTTTTAATTTACATAACTAGTTTTTATTATTGGTGAAATCCTTGTTACTCATCTAGTCAAACATGTTTCTAGATTGTTACTGTATTCTAAATTATTAAAAGTCTGAAATTTCCCTAAGATCACAAGAGGTGGAGGGAGGGAGGGACCTGGGAGGGAGACAGGAGGGGGGAGGAAAAAAATCGGAGTAGGATCAGGTGTGGGAAGGGACAGGAGAGAAGTACAGAGGGTCAGGAAATTAAATAGAAATATGTAGCAGTGGGGGATGGGGAACTTGAGTGGCCACTAGAAAGTCCCAGATGGCAGGGAAGCAAGAGGCTCCCAGGACCCAACAGAATGACATTAGCCAAAATAACAAATTTCTCAAAATTTTTAACCTAGAATTGATCCTGTTTAAAGGAAAAGCAGAGACAAAAAAATGGAGCAGAGACTCAAGGAAAGGCCATCCAGAGACCACCTCAACTAGGGATCCATCCCATCTGCAGAATCAAACCCTGGCACTATTGCTGATGACAAGAAGCACTTGCTGACAGGAACCTGATATGGCTATTCTCTGAGAGGCTCTGCCAGCACCTGACGAATACAGATACAGATACTCACAGCCAACCATCAGACTGAGTCCGGGGACCCAAATTGAAGAGCTAGGCAAAAGACTGAAGGAGCTGTAGGGGATTGCATTCCCATTGGGAGAACAATATCAACTAACCAGACCACCCAGAGCTCCCAGAGACTAAACCACCAACCAAAGAGTATGTATGGAGAGATGCATGGCTCTAGCTACATATGTAGCAAGAATGGCCTTATCTGACATCAATGGGAGAGAAGGCCCATGGTCCAGTGGAGGCTTGATGCCCCAGTGTTGGGGATGCTAGAGCTGTCAGGCCAGAGTGGGTGAGTGGGTGGAGGAGCAGCCTCATGGAGGCAAAGGGGAAGGGTGTTGTGGAGAGGAAACTAGGAAGGGGGACAACATTTGAAATGTAAATTAATAAAATAACAAATCAAAAACAAAAGATTCAATGTATGATCTTCACTTACCGAATCCTGTTTAAGAAAATTTGATGATTCCTCACTTAGCAAGGGTCTTGAGGCAAGAATTTCTATTTTGCCTTCTAGCCTTCCTTCCATGGTTTTAATAGCATTTAAAAGAGTCTTTAGAGAGATTCTGGAGTCTCCCATCTCCTGAGACATTCTCACAGAAGGCAAGGTAGGTGCAAAGCTCACTCGTCGTGTCACATTCGGAATAACACTAGGCAAGGCGACTGTCGCAGCCCTTTCCTTTACATTACTGGCATAAACCCGAGAGCCTTCGAGGGATTTAGAAGATGTGGACCTCTCTGGAGATTTCCTTCTTCTTGGAGGCATTACTAGTCACAAGTAACAGTATCAAGTAAATCTAAGGCTTGGTTTTCAAGGAATACCCACTTTAGTAGGAAAAATAGCAAAAAGTTTGGGAAGAAGCTGGAAAATATATTCCTTGGCTTCAAGAATGAAAAAAGATCACTAGGTTCTATGAGCTAGTGAAGAAGCAGGCCACAACCTGAGCTTCCCCAGGACACTATCGCTAATGACAGTAACTTAGAGCTTTGTGACCTCAACACCCATCAGCAGATGCAGTTGGTTAGAACCCCCTGGGCATTCCATTTGAAGACATACTCTAGAACCATGGTAATGGTGGTATTTGAACACAAAGTCACAGACAAAGGTTTCAGTTTATAATGAGTTAAAGATTTTTACAATCATTGTAAAATATGCTATTTGTAGCATAGATACAAATATGCCAAGTTTGTAATCACTAAACTGAATTGCTTTTTTTTCAGTAAAATATTCATGGGTTCAATCCCTTACTAAGCACTTTCTACACTTCGCTTGCTTAACAACTCATTTACTGAAATGTTATGTGACCTACAACAGTTGTGAGCCTCTCCAGCCATTGTGCTAAGTAAGCTGCTTCACTATTAATACCTCTTTCAGGTGAGCTTCTGACTGCTGCAGATATGCCTTGCTGGCACTCAGCTCTGAGTTTGCCTACAATTAAAAAAACAAAGATACTTGTTCCTCACATTTGTGGAAAAAAAAGTTAAGGCTCGAACTCAAAAAGCTCTGAGCTTATGAAACCCATACAAATATTTCATAACAATGATCCTTGTGAGTGGTCATGAAAACAACAGATTTTTTCCTAAAGGCAGAAAGCTTCCTGTTCAACAAGCTTTCATGAATGTTATATTTATAAAGATGAAGCATGTTGAACATTCTGATTCTGGTGAAGGCATCTTTATAACTCTTTCTATGTCTCAGCAGAATCTTACACATAGCAGAGGTTTAAGCTGAGTCAAGAGAAGATATTCACCTTTGCAGGATTGCATAGGGGAGGGGAGAAGCACCAAGCAACACCTCAAACCTGCAGCATCGTAACCGTACCTCATAGCAATCGCTCTCTGCAGACACTAGTCATACCTGAGTATATTTGATCTCTAAAGCCTTATTCAGTTGGTGTAGATGGTCGTTCTGCAGCCTGGTTTCAGTAAATGAATGCAGCTGTTCTTCTAGCTGTTTAACTTTTATCTACAAGGAAAATAAATAATGAGTGGAGGAAGATGTCATACCTTTTGTTTAAAAAAATTACAGAACACATGAAACTTGAAAAGCAAATCATACATTTTTCTAATTTTGCAAACAATTCTGTCTTAACTCATTGCTACAAGCAGGCTACAGCTGTGTAAAGGAGCTGAGACAATGCTTCTGCTTTCTGTGGCTCAAGGAAAGTCCAAATGGACACTATCAGGAATAATTCCATGAGACTGTCCTGTAGATACATCTCAAATTTGAGTGAACTGTGGCACCAGTATTCAGAACATTTTCTGAATGTGGAAAATTAGAAGTCTAGTGGGGAGAGAGGGGGAAGGGAGGGAGGGAGGGAGAGAGGGAGAGAGGGAGGAAGGGAGAGAGAGAGAGGGAGGGAGGGAGAGAGAGAGAGAGAGGTGTTTTGCTCAAAGAAAACGAGGAAAAGTTAAATAGAGTGCTTATTTGTTGCACTGCATTTTAAAGTTACCTCCTAATGGCATTGTGGTACATACCTGCTATCTCAGTCCATGGGAAGCAGAGGCAGAAGGATTATTGTGAGTTATTAAATAAGATTACTTTTTTATGGAATAAAAATAAGTTTTACCTCATTCTTAGGACTCATCATACTGTAACCACTGAGGAACAATAAAGTGCAGCATACCATCAGCTAAGGTACTTTATCTTTTGTCATTCGGTAGGAATTCTTACTCAAGATATTTAAGATGGGAAGGAACACAGAAGCACTGGTCAGAAGCTCCTTCAAGTCTGGTGATTTGATGAGCATTAAAAATCACTCTATGACCAGCTTATCAGTAAGTCTGGGAACATGACTAACTTAGGCCATGGTCAGATGTTCATACTGTTCTATTGCTCTGAATAGACACGCATACACACACGCATGCACACACACACACACACATACACACTCATACACACACACACACACATACACTATATATAATATAATATCTCTCTATATAGCAATATATATTGGTACCCATAGCTACATACATTATGAGACAGCCAAAAAATTAAAAGAGCCCCCTTTTAACCTGTTTACACTGTAATATAAATATTGATTCATTACATTTCCCAGATAATTTTAGTATACACTGAAAAATTGAAATAAAGTAGGACATAGCTATAATGGTAGTTCATTTATAAATTGAAATGAGATTTAGAGTTAGAAATAACCCAAATAGCCAATTTTAAAACTTCCAGTTTGGTTTTGTGGCACTGAGAGTAAACCAGGACCATTCTATAAGCATAACTCATATCAACTACCTTTCATTTTGCCTTCCAGCTCTGAACCTCATTTGTCTGCTAACTTTACTATGAGGGAAGAATGAATGCTGACATGTTTGGCAAGCCTATTGTGAGATTACTCCACATTTCATCTGTCCAGTCTGGAGCCTAAGTGGGCTTCATTTTACATTGTTTAGTCCAGCTGTTAGCTTTTTGGCATGTTAGGCAAGTATCCTACCACTGTCCGAAGCCCCAACTCCAAATACATTTTGACTACAAATAAGACATACATTCAGGCAGCTATGGCAATTTTAATACAGTCTGGCCATTTTTATTTCTATGGCCCTTGCCTAATAGTCATACAATATACCACCCAGCAGTTTACACCACAGACCCACCATAAGCAGTACAGCAAAGTTTGCATTTATACTATTGAGAAGAGAAAGAAGACAAGGAGAAAACACATAGTGTATGCTTATCCAGAATCAAAGTCCAGGTAACCAACCAGAGGTGTCAGAAGTCAGGATGGTAATGACTTGTAGAGACAGTCCCTGAAAGGAGGTCCTAGTGCTATGAATATTCTACTTCCTGGTGTGAGTATTGATTACATAATTACCTTTATCTCATTTTAAAAAACCCATCAAGCCATGTTCTGATCTCCTTTTCCTTATTAGATATGTTTCAAACGAAATGGTAAACATACATTTCCTACCGCTGGGACCTTTTATTTTTTTTTTTTTTAAATTCCACCGGATTCTAATCTGTACTTAAGACTTAGAACTCGAAAATTAGAGATATTAGAGATTAGTGTTTCCCTTCGGGTTGGTCTCAGTCAGGCTCAGCCACATCAGTGGCAAGCTTCCTGCAGTGTGGGAACCATGGAAGTAAAACTGGTGGCAACCATAGCTCAGTACCTTCACAGGTACCACAGATCCCACCACACTACTCAGTACTACAGACTCAAATCTGTCAGGGATTTTTTTTCTATGCTCTGACAGCATGGCCATGTACAAGATGGCTGTTATAAAGCTTCAGACAGAGAATGGGTTGTGGTTTCATTATTACATCATTGGTCTATAAACAGATGTCATTTGGTTGATAATGAAGAAATGAAGTTAAGGAAGATCAGAGGCTACAGAGTTACTGACTGACAGAGATTTTCTAAAATTCTGTATATTTAATCCATTCAACAATTACAATTTTAAACATCAGACAAAAATTAGAAGATAAATCTCATACCTGGAGTTTCCCCTTTTCATAGGCAAGCTTATTTTTACTATCAGTAATTTTTTCCAAGGCCTTTTCCACTTTCTGTTGAGCAAACTGATAAATCAAAGACACATATCATTACCATTACATTCAACATGATTATAACATCCCTTGAAAACAGGATTAATATTGTTGCTATTTCTACAGAAATAATATCAAAATTTACTTGGAATGTACAGCAGCCTATAAAACCTTCCCCTAGGCAATAAATCATTTTGCTGACAGGAAACACGTACAGAGATTGCCAATGAAGATACAAAGCTGTAGGAGTATCAGAGTGTGATGTCCTTTGTACCTGCATTCTTCTTTTGTTTGTTTCTGACTTGTTAATCTTTGGTAAATATGTTTCCCTAGATGTGGTACAGTTTGTAATAGTGAATGTAAGCTGCTTGAAGAGAACCATACAGGTTTTTAGGAACAATGACCATAACCTCTGGCAGTAGAAGACCCTTTAGTTATCACGGCTTAAAAAAAAATCACCTCTCAAAAGTTGAAGATAAGTACTATCTTGAAGATACCATATCCTTTATACACGGCTGGCTGGAAAGATCTGAGCTGGATCTAAACATGAACATCTTTCCTGTGGTTTGGCTTTCATAGTACCAAAAAGTACTATGTAAGCTGCCAAGAAAGGGAAGCAATGAACAGTCATATCCTGATGTGATTCCTATGAACTAAAACAAGCATGGCAAGATATCACGAAAAGTCCAATCATGGCACCCATATCATAGTGGTAACCAACAACTGTTTAATTGGATTCATGGCCCAAAAAAATGGGAGGAAAATTACCCCTGATCCTAGAAACCTAGCCAACTTCCAGATCTAGTGAGGTCATGGATTTTAAAACCATCACTATCACTTTATCAGATCAGCAAAATTCCTAACCATATTCTAAAGCTTATCTCTATACCCACAAATTAGTGCAATTCTCACTTCATCAAAGAAGATTCTCTTTACAGCAAATGGAGACTGTTACAAAAAACCCTACAATTGGCCCTAAGTAGAGATCAATGGATTTAGAGGATCCCAGATACAATGGACACAATTGCAAACACATCTATATAACACCTCCTACACATGAAGGCTCAGAAAACATCACAGAAGAGGGACAGAAAGGTTGTAGAAGCAGAGAACATGGAAGCCTGTTGTGAAATCCTATCTCCTAGAAATGACAGGGAAGTGATATGATACCTAGTATACCTCAAAAAATATGATTGTCTAATAGAGATCTGAACAATGACAATATCAATAGAGGTGTTAACTCAGCAGGGGGACATCTCCTAGAGTCTCACACCTAGAGAAAGAACTGCAACAATTGATGACTGCCAACAAAAGGAGAATTACCTAGAAATGAGTCCCTAATCAGTCATCCAATACATGATTGTCAGCCGTAAATCAAATGCACACAAGACATATTAAAAAGAAGTGGGCTATGTTTACATATTTGTGAATATCTATTTATCTACATAGACAGACAATCAGACTGATGAAACAATAATAATCAACAGGAAAAAGGCCATCAATTTGAAAGGATGTGCAGAGTCTAGAGAGGGCACATGGAAGGGGTTGGAAAGCAAAAAAGGGACATGGAGGAATGATGTAATTACATTTTAATTTTTAAAAATAAAAGATGTTAGGCGCTTATTTAAATTCCTGTTTACAGGCTACTAAATTGTCCCTGAACTTTAAATAATGGAAGAACATAAATTAGATATTACCCAAATGAATCAACACCTCAGACCTTGTCACGTAGAGAATACAAATAAAATTAGCATTTGCTTAGATAACCTTGGTATTATTATAAAGGCTACTAACAGATCAAAACAGAAACTGGAAAATTACTTGACAAATAGCATACAAAGAAGAAATGATAGTTTCCGTTACAATATATAACTTTTGACTCACAAAAGTTTTTAGAATATTAGTTTTTAGTCTGCTAGACTATATAAAGAATATTAAAATTTTCAGTCTGCTAGAATATAGTTTTTGACACACAAAAGCAGCAAGCAGTACATAGATAATCAAGAAGTTGCCTTTAAAAAAATTACCTTAAGAAAGATAAGTTAGCAAGGATAACCAGTCCCACAGCTCAGATCTGAAAAGTACCCCACAAAGAATGTGTTTTGCATGGTTACTAGCCACAGGCATCAGAACCTTTTAGAGATGAGGCCAAGTGGAGATGTGTTAGACCACTGGGATGTGCCCTTTGAACAAGGCCATGGAGCCTTTCTGTCTCTTTTCAGAGGAGAGTAGCTCCACTGCCACAAACACCCTACAAGGTTGTTCTGCCTTACAAAGGCTCAAAAGCCACAATACAACTAATCATGGAAACAGCCAAAATTATGAACCCAAATAATTCTTTATATTGACAATATTCTATGGCATGTTACACAATGATGGAAAGATACAAACACCTAGAAATTGTTTTCTAGGATTTTTTCTTACAGTCCTGGAAACTAAACCTAGAGCCTTGTACATACTAGGCAAGAGTTCTACCCATTGAGCTGCATCTCAGCCTAAAAATCATCTTTTGAGATCAAAAGTTAACAAAAGCTTTTAAAGAATTTAAAAACCAGAAATATTAGACTCTTATAACGTTGTTTTATAAGTATACATTTATTTAAAACATGATACAGATTGAAAGTAAAATATTAGATTTGGACACAAAGGTATATACAAGGTTGAATAGCATCCTTGAAATGTCCCTCCGCAGCAAATGGGAACAAATACAGAGACCCATAGACACACATTATATAGAGAGTGAGAGACCTTGGAACAATCAGCCCTAAATGGGATGTCATCATCAAATCTCTACCTTCAAATTCAGGAAACCCCTCTGAAGAGAAGGCAGAAAGAGTGTAGGACCCAGAAGTAATGGAGGACACACACACACACACACACACACACACACACACACACACACACACACAACAAAACCAAAGCCCTTTAAATCAACATGAGCAAAGCTCATATGAACTCACAACATGCAGCAGGCCTGCACAGGTCTTCACCAGGTTCTCTGCATATGTATTATGGCTTCCAGGTTTTTTTGGAATGTTTATGGAATTCCAGCATTTTTATGGAATTCCTGATTTTGCAAACAAGTGGATCTATGCTTCCTGTGCCTTCTCTTGGTCTCTTTTCCTTCTGTTGATTTGTTCTCTCCAACTTTGATGTGATAATTTTTACATTATCTTATTACATTTTATTTTGTTCTATTTTAATATTAGCTCTTAGAGGCCCCTTTTTTTTTATAATAAAAGGGAGAAAGGGAGTGGATCCTGATGTGAGGAGAGGTGGGGAGGCACCTATAGGAGGTTTTTTTTTTTTTATCAACATGGCATCTAGGAAGAAAGAAGATTAATTGAGAAAATACTTCTATATGACTAGACTGAAGGAATAGGGTATTTCTTGATTAACGATTGATGTGAGATTGTCTTCAATTTCTTTCTTCAGAGACTTGAAGTTCTTGTCATACAGATCTTTCACTTGCTTGGTTAGATTCACACCAAGGTATTTCATATTATTTGTGACTATTGTGAAGGGTGTCATTTCCCTAATTTCTTTTTCAGACTGTTTATCTTTCATGTAGAGGAATGCTACTGATTTGTTTGAGTTGATTTTATAACCCGCCACTTTGCTGAAATTTTTAAATCAGGTTTAGGAGTTCTCTGGTGGAAGTTTTGGGGTATATTAAAGTATATTATCACATCATCTGCAAATAGTGATATTTTCACTTCTTCCTTTCCTATTTGTATCCCTTTGACTTCTTTTTGTTGTCTAATTGCTCTGGCTAGGACTTCCAGTACTATATTGAATAGGTAGGGGGAGAGTGGGCAACCTTGTCTAGTCCCTGATCTTAGTGGGATTGCTTCAAGTTTCTCTCCATTTAGTTTGATGTTGGCTACTGGTTTGCTGTATATTGCATTTACTATGTTTAGGTATGGGCCTTGACTTCCTGATCTTTCTAAGACTTTTATCATGAATGGATGTTGAATTTTGTCACATGCTTTCTCAGCATTTAGTGAGATGATCATGTGGTTTTTTTCTTTGAGTTTGTTTATGTACTGGATTATGTGGATGAATTTCCGAATATTGAACCATCCCTGCATTCCTGGGATAAAGCCTACTTGATCATGATGGATGATTGTTTTGATGTGTTCTTGGATTCGGTTTGCTAGAAGATGATCTTAGAAGATGGAAAGATCTCCCATGCTCATGGATTGGCAGGATTAATATAGTAAAAATGACCATCTTGCCAAAAGCAATCTACAGATTTAATCAAATCCCCATTAAAATCCCAACCCAATTCTTCACAGGGCTAGAAAGAGAAAATCTCAAATTCATTTGAAGTAACAAAAAACCCAGGATAGCGAAAACTATTCTCAACAATACAAGAACTTCTGGAGGAATCACCATCCCTGACCTCAAGCTGTACTACAGAGCAATAGTGATAAAAAGCTGCATGGTATTGGTACAGAGACAGGCAGGAAGATCAATGGAATAGAATTGAAGACCCAGAAATGAACCCACACTCCTATGGTCACTTGATCTTTGACAAAGGAGCTAAAACTGTCCAGTGGAAAAAGGACAGCATTTTCAACAAATGGTGCTGGTTCAACTGCAGGACAATATGTAGAAGAATGCAAATTGATCCATTCTGTTTTTTTTTTTAATTTTTTTATTGGATATTTTATTTACATTTCATATGTTGTCCCCTTACCCCATCCCCCACCCACCCGGGAACCCCCTATCCCCTCACCCCTCCTCCTTCTTCTCTGTGGATGTAACCCCTACCTACACCCCCACTTCCACTTCCCCACCCTCAAAATTCCCACCCCCTGGGGCGTCCAGGCTTCTTGAGGTCAAGGATCTCATCTTCCACCTATGCCCAGCAGGGCCTTCCACTCTTAAGTATTCAGCTGAAGCCCTGGATCCCTCCCTAAGTGCTCCCAGGCTGGTGGTTTAGACCCTGGGAGCTGTGGTTGGTTGGTATTGTTGCTCTCCTCATGGGGCCACAAACCCTTTCAGCTCCTTCAGTCCTCACTCTAACTCCTCCATTGAGAACCCCATGATCAGTTCAATGGCTAGTTGTGAGCATCTGCCTCTGAATATGTCAGACTCTTGAAGGCCTCTGAGGAGACATCCATATCAGGCTCTTATCAGCATGCACTTCCTGACTTCCACATCAGCATCTACCCATGTGGTGACTGCACATGGGATGGATACTCAGGTGGAAAGGTCTTCAAATGGCCCCTCCTTCAGTTTCTGTCCCTCACTTTGTCTCCATATTTGCTTCCTTGAGTATTTTGTTGCTCCTTCTAAGAAGAACTGAATCACCCCCACTTGGTCTTCCTTCTTCATGAGCTTCATGTGGCCTGTGAGTTGCATCTTGGGCATTTCAAGGTTCTGGGCTAATATCCAATAATCAGTGAGTGAATACCATGTGTGTTCTTTTGTGATTGGCTTACTTCACTCAGGATGATGATTTCTAGTTCCATCCATTTACCTAGGAAACTCTCGAATTCATTGTTTTTAATAGCTGAGTAATACTCCATTGTATAAATATACCACATTTTTTGAATCCATTCCTCAGTTGAAGGACATCTGGGTTCTTTCCAGCTTCTGGCTATTATAAATAAGGCTGCTATGAACATAGTTGAGCATATGTCCTTGTTATATGTTAGAGCATCTTCTGGGTATATGCCTAGGAGTGGTATAGCTGGATCCTCAGGTAATGCTATGTCCAATTTTCTGAGGAACCGCCACACTGATTTCCAAAGTGGTTGCACCATCTTGCAGTCCCACCAACAATGGAGGAGTGTTCCTCTTTCTCCACACCCTCGCCAGCATCTACTATCACCTGAGTTTTTTTTTTTTTTTTTTAAGATTTATTTATTTTATGTGAGTACACAGTTGCTATGATCAGAAACACCAGAAGAGGGCATCAGATCCCATTACAGATGGTTGTGAGCCACCATGTGGTTGCTGGGAATTGAACTCAGGACCTCTGGAAGAGCAATCAGTGCTCTTAACCACTGAGCCATCTCTCCAGCCCTCACCTGAGTTTTTAATCTTAGCCATTCTGACTGGTGTAAGATGGAATCTCAGGGTTGTTTTGATTTGCATTTCCCTGATAACTAAGGACACTGAACATTTCTTTAGGTGCTTCTCGGCCATTCGAGTTTCTTCCGTTGAAAATTCTTTGTTAAGCTCTATACCCCATTTTTTAATAGGGTTATTTGGTTGTTCCTGAACAGAACACCAATGGCTTATGCTCTAAGATCAAGAATTGAAAAATGGGAGTTCATAAAATTGCAAAGTTTCTGTAAGGCAAAGGACACTGTCAATAGGACAAAACGGACACCAATAGATTGGGAAAAGATCTTTACCAATTACATATGAAATGTAAATAAAATATCCAATAAAAAATGGAAAAAAATGAAAAATAAATTTATGTGGGAAGGCTCAGTCCGCTGGGGGCAGTACCACCTGAGGAGATGGCCCTGGGTTATAGGAGGAATCAAACTGAGCAAGTCCATGAGCAGTGCTCCTTGGTCTCTGCTTCAACTCTCACCTCCAGGTTCCTATCCTGACTTCCTTTCATGGTGGACTGTAAGTTAAGGTGAAATAAACTCCTTTTTTTCCTCAAGTTGCTTTTGGTCATATTGTTTTGTCACAGCAATAGAAAAGCAAACCAGGGCAACAGAAAACTAGGCAACATGCAGGAAAATAATAGTAGTATTTATTGATGCACATTGCATGCTAAGCTTTGCAATGGGCACTTGGCACTGAATCCTCCTGCAATCCCAAGAACCTGGCAAGATCAGGCTTTAATTTCAAATCTGTGATGTGATGCAATATACTCCAAAGGTGTATCTCTAAAGACCAGTGAGAAATCATACTGCAAGTTACCCCTTATTAACAATTTTAAGTTTTAAGTCCCAACAAACAAAAATTGTGTTGCCAGCATTGGCTAGTAATAATTTTAATGAAAGTACAAAACTGCTGAAAAAAAATCCTGACAGCCCGGCTTCACAGCTTAGACTCATATGTTCTACTGAAACATTCTGTGAAGGTTTGATGGAAAAGCTTCTAGGTAGAGACAAAACTCAAGCCATAACTGAGGTATAAGTTATCACTATGAGCCATTAAACAACAGAGAGCAGGAAGAACAGGAAGGAATACTAAGTAAATGACTGATAAGATGTATCACAATCACTAGTAGAAAGAGACCATAGACTTGGCATTGGCAATGGATTCAGAAAATTGGGCAGGCAGATGTGGCCTTACAGACAGTTAGACAAACCAAACAGAGGCCAGGACAATAAGCAAAGGACATGAGTGAATATTTAATCTTGGAGCAAGATCATAGCAGGAATCACAATCAATGGGTCTCATTATCCCAACAGGCACTGCTAGACTTCCCACTGTCCATGACACCCCAGAAACTAAGAATTTAAAACTATTTGCTACATATTCTACATGTATTAACTTAATCCTCAAATACTTTTATAGCAATGGTATCATCCTCATTTTGATAGATTAACAAACTGAGGCTCTAAGAGATTAAATGTCATTTCTCTCATAGGCAAAATGGATAGCAAGAAAGTCAAACTCAAAAGCCATGAAAACATAAAAGATTTAGACCATGTAATTCTTCAGAGTTGAAGTAATAAGCACTTTATGACAGGGTTTAGTAAAAATTAATCTTAGATTAAAAAGAGATTAGGGTATTCTGTGAAATCTAAAGAATCTCTTGCATGTTCTAAGACAGCATTAATCATTCTCCAGAAATTCAAACACATAAGAAAATTATTCGCTTAGAGAATGATCATCTCTAAGTCCTCTTCACCTGAAGATGCTGAAAGAATGAACACCATATATTTGTAATGCACTGACCTTATCAAACAGTTTTTAGAAATCACACTTATTACTGATTGCTTAATGGAGGGAAAAAAGGTAAGAAATATAAGTTTCTTCATCATAATTTATGTAAAAGGAAGTATTTTTAAACATCAAGTTCATTTGTGCTTTTCAGTATTATCAATCCCTGGTGACAATCACTTAGAACTCTCCCAATTGCCTCTTCTAGACTGACCTTTTTATACCCACCCCATGGTAGTCAGAAGTGGCTTTGTGATGTTCAAGGGAAGCCATTTTATCTGTCAGTTGCTTATTTTCTTTCACTAGAGTCTGCAGGTTTTGATTCAACACATTAACGTCTTCCTTTGAAAACAAAAAGAGAGAAGAAATTATTTTAAACAAAATAAATCTTATTTTAAAGCAACAGTTGAATTGAAAACTAGAAGGGAACCTATGCTCATGTTTCCTGTCTCAAAGAGTGGGGTTTTCATGAGTCTTGTTTGATAGCTTTTGAATGTTCAAAACTAGTTATTTTTGTTTTCTTTCAACCTTTACCTTATTGAAAAAAAAATTTCTCATGCATTATATTCTGATCATGCTTTTCCCCTTCCCCAACTTCTCCCAGATCTTCTCCACCTCCCCATCCATCCAACTCCAGGCCTGTCTTTCTTTAAAAAACAAACAAAAAAAGAAACACACACAAAAATGCTCCACAAAAACACAAGCCAGAATATACAAGCAGAAGACCAGTAAGACAATCAATGCCCAAACAAAGCATCATGAGACACAAAGGACAAAAGTACCATTGAGTTTGTTTTGTGTTGGCCAACCACTCCTGAGCATGGGACCCTTTCCCGGAGTGTGGTTAATACACTCAGTGAAACTCCTTTGGAGAAAACCAATTTTTATTTTGCCAGAAGATATCAATTTCAGGTAGCTTCTTGGTCAAGGGTGTGTGGGGCCATGACCACTTGCCACTCTCAGGGCTGGGGTCATCTGGCTTGAACTTGTCCAGGCCTGTATGTGCTGTCATAGTTGCTGTGAGTTTTTACTCACTGCTTCTTACAATTTCTATTTCTTTTCTAGTTGATATTGGAAGAAGTAAAGAAGTCATTATCATTGGTAGTTATGCTCCTTCTAGTATTTGGTATTTGTTTATCATTCCAAGTTTGTGTATAATAGATACAAAAATCTTCCACAAAATATTGTCAAAGTTAATCTGGGAATATATATAGTAGAGATAAGAGGTAGATGAAGTTTATCCTGATAGTATATATGATTTACTACCAGTATAATTTAGCACACCAATACACTGTTTTAGATAAACCATATGACCATTTCAATAAAAATATATATTTTAAAAACTCAACATTGATTTATGAGTTTAGGAAAACTCATCTTAAAATTATGAAAAACAATCACCTCTATCTGATATAATTGTATCTACAAAAAATCCCACACTTGGTTAGGTTTCCATCATGAGTATGATTTCCCTTGGGTTGAACAGGCCTTAAGTTCAGTAAGAGAGTTGTTGGTTTCTACCAGAATATGTATGCTTCTGTTGTACCCATGGGGTTATCATGACCCGTGTGCTGCTGTTATATTACATTGTATTACATTGCATTGGTATTACAGCTAGGTAGAACTGCTGGTTGCTTTCTTCCTTTGGACACTTACATGTCTCCTTCTGCTATCATGATAGCTACTGTAATTAAGCAAAGTCAAGGGTGGGAGAAACAGTCTCCCGTAGAAAGGAGCCCCACACCCCTAACTGTTTACCTAATACTAAGTAGTCAGCTTTGAGATTATATACATACATACATACATACATACATACATACATACATACAAGTGACATTATATGAGCTGAGCAAGTAGTATTCATATAGTTATATAGGTAGTTGTTACACATACATGTAACAACAATTAAAAAGGCCATGAATTTGAGAGAGAACAGGAGGAATTTAGTGGAAGTGTTGAAGGAAAAGGAGGGAGAAAATGATATCATTGTGTTTTAACTTCAAAAATAGGAAAATTAATTAAAACATCCTAAAGCTAATAGGAATTGTAATGCTAAAGATTAAGCATTTTCCTCCTAAGCTAGGGGAAAAGACAGGAGTGCCTGCTGTCATCATCCCTAGTCAGCCTCATAAGAAGACCATAGCTGGTGTAATAAAAAATGAAAAGGAGGAGGACACTAGATTTGAGAGAGAAATAAAACTCTCTCTATTCACAACAGAGATTGGTGACTTAGGAATTTCCAAAAATGTATACAACAGACACTAGAAAAATGAGTTTGTCAACATTAAAGGATGCAAGATCAAATTGACTGCATTTTTACAAAAAATATTCATAGTATCTGTGTGGATTGGTTCTAGGACCCTTTTGTATACACAAATGTGTGACTATTCTTGTCTCATATGCCAAATGCACAACATTTTCAAATAACCTGTACCATCTTTATGTGATATTTGCATATAGCCTGTGTATCATTTTGTATATGGGAAGCTCTCTTTAGACTGTTCTTAGCATCTAACACAATGTAAAGAGTATTGCTTACAGAACAATCAATAGGGGAAAAATCTATATATACTCAGTATACATGTAGCTTTCCCCAAATATTTTCAATTTATCATTAGTTGAATTCAATTATATGAAACCCACAGACAAGGAGGGCCAATAAGCAACAAACAACTGGCTCTTTATATTTCTTTAAAATATCATTTAATTACAGGTATGGTACTTTTAATCCCAGAATTTAGGATGAAGAGGCAGGCAGCCTGGTCTACATAGTGAATTCTAGGTTAGCCAGAGCTATAAAGTATGTTTCAACAAAAGGCCTTCTATTACAATACTAAAACCATGAAATTACACTAAATAAATATCATAAAATATAACCAATAAATAACACTGAAAATTATAAAATATGAATGACAGAAATCAAGTTTAAATAAAACAAAGAAGTATACTTTATGGCTTTGAATATTCAATTTTTTTCTTTTTCAAAATAGGATCTAGTCATGTAGTTCAGGGTGGTCTTGAATTCCTGGTGATCCTCCCAACTGCTGTAGTTATAGATGTAAGCCACGATATTCAGTGAAGATGTAATATTTCTAAGATATTAGTGCTCTCTAACCTCCAATGAAATGGCTGCAAAACTGTTTACAGAAATCTATTAACTTATTCTAAAATGTCCATGTAAAAACAAAACAAATAAATAGCTACAACAAATTTGAAAATAACAGCTAGAGAATGCAATTTAATTATAAGAATAGATAGCTAAGAGTTTCAAAGTAGCAAAAAGAAAATACAATGAAACGTAACAGAAAGTCTACAGTGAGATCTAAACACATATGACCAACTAATTTTCAACTAAAGTACCAACACAATCCAAAGGAACCGTGGGCTCTGTCCAAAGATGTGACTAGAAAATGGAAATCAGTGACATGTGGGAAGCAAGGACCCTCACAACGTCTCTTCCACAGAGCAAAAGTAGTCACAGTGAACTTTCTCACAAAAGTAATCTATGGAACATGTATTAAAGAAAATGGCTGAAACTACACAAGAACTGTGAGCTTTGTATTGTTTTTATATGCTCAATTCTTATCTTCTCCCTTCTCTAGCATAGGAGTAGCTTTAAGTCAACAGACTGCTAGCTCAGGGAGAACTAAGCCTGGCAGTCACCTAAGGTACAAGACATGGTTGTTACTTTCAGAATGGCATCCATAGAGCCCTATCATAGTATGATATGTGCCTTAGTGAGGGTTACTCTGGCTGTGGTGAAACATCATGACCAAAAGCAACCTAGGGAGGAAAGGGTTTATTTGGCTTATACTTCCATTGCACTGCTCATCATCAAAGAAAGTTAAGACAGGAACTCAAATAGGGCAGGAACCTGGAGGCAGGAGCTGATGCAGAGGCCATGGAGAGGTGCTGCTGACAGGTAGGATCCTCCTGGCTTGTTCAACCTGACTTCTTATAAAACCCAGACCAAAAGCACAAGGGTTTCCCAACCCACACTGGCTTGGACACTCCCCCATCAATCACTAATTAAGAGACTGTTCACCAGGCTTGCTTGTCTACTACAGCCAGTCTACTACACTGGAGGCATTTTCTCAATTAAGGTTCCCTCTTCTCAGAGGACACTAGCTATGTCAAGCAAACAAACAAACAACAATGATAACAAAAACAAAATCAACCAGCTAGGAAAATCTGTCTGATGCTTCTCTGGATAACTTCATAAACAAGATTAATTTGGACTGACTTAGAATTTACTCAGTACAAAAATCTTTCTTCTTAGACACATTTATAGGAATGATTAGAGGTAACTGGCTAAGTTTGTAGTTGCCTGAGATGAAAATCAAGAATTACTCAAACAAACAACAACAAAAACAAAAAACAAAACCAAAAAAGGCTAACCAGAAAACCTGAAAGATAAAGACTGGGAACAAAATAACCACTGGGTGGGGCAGAGGCTCTCAACCTTCTTAATGCCACAGCTCTTTAATACAGTTTCTCATGCTGTGATGACCCCAACCATAAAATCATTTTTATTGCTACTTTATAACTGTGATTTTGCTGCTGTTATGAATCATAATTCAAATACCTGTGTTTTCTGATGGTCTTAGGCAAACCCTGTGAAAGAGTTTGGAGTCAAGGACATGTGCTCAACTATGTTCATAGCAGCCTTATTTATAATAGCCAGGAGCTGGAAAGAACCCAGATGTCCTTCAACTGAGGAATGGATTCAAAAAATGTGGTATATTTACACAATGGAGTATTATTCAGCTATTAAAAACAATGAATTTGAGAGTTTCCTAGGTAAATGGATGGAACTAGAAATTATCATCCTGAGTGAAGTAAGCCAATCACAAGAGAACACACATGGTATTCACTCACTGATTATTGGATATTAGCCCAGAACCTTGAAATGCCCAAGATGCAACTCACAGGCCACATGAAGCCTATAAAGAAGGAAGACCAAGTGGGGGTGATTCAGTTCTTCTTAGAAGGAGTAACAAAATACTCAAGGGAGCAAATATGGAGACAAAGTGAGAGACAGAAACTGAAGGAGGGGCCGTCTGAAGACCACTCCACCTGAGTATCTATCCCATGTGCAGTCACCAAAGGTAGATGCTGGTGTGGAAGTCAGGAAGTGCATGCTGATAAGAGCCTGATATGGATGTCTCCTCAGAGGTCTTCAAGAGTCTGACATATTCAGAGGCAGATGCTCACAACTAGCCATTGAACTGATAATGGGGTTCCCAATGGAGGAGTTAGAGTGAAGGCCATTGGAGCTGAAAGGGTTTGTGGCCCCATGAGGAGAGCAACAATACCAACCAACCACAGCTCCCAGGGTCTAAACCACCAGCCTGGGAGCACTTAGGGAGGGATCCAGGGCTTCAGCTGAATACTTAAGAGTGGAGGGCCCTGCTGGGCATAGGTGGGAGAAGAGATCCTTGACTTAGTGAAGGCTGGACGCCCCAGGGGGTGGGAATTTTGAGGGTGGGGAGGTGGGAGTGGCGGGGTAGGCAGGGGTTACATCCGCAGAGAAGAAGGAGGAGGGGTGAGGGGATAGGGGGTTCCTGGGTGGGTGGGGGATGGGGTAAGGAGACAACATATGAAATGTAAATAAAGCATCCAATACAAAAAAAGAAAAAAAAGAAAAAAAGAAAATAAATAAATAAATAAATAAAGGCACATTTTAAAAAAAGCATTTGAAATCAAAGAATATAATACAGAATAGTAAAATAAAGGACATGATCCTTAAGATCATTTCAATATTTCCAGATAAAACATTTGACAAAATTTAATATAGTATTATAACAAAAGAGTTTGGGGTCAAGATCCACAGATTGAGAACCACAACATTGGATGCTTTGAAGAATACTGACAAATTCCTGACGCTTTAGAAGTCAGTATTGTTTTCTTCAGTCTCTTAGTTAATAGTGCTGCTCAAGTCTTCTGTTTGTTTGTGTGTCTTTTGTCTTCTTGTCTTGTTGAGTATTATGAGTGAGAAATTTTAAATCCCTGTCTACTGTTCATACATAGGGTCTTGCACATGGGCAGAGCTACATGGTCTGAGGTGAGAGGGCCTCCAAAGCCCACCTTTACAAACCCTGAGGCTCTAAGCTCTGAAGACTAGAGATGTCAGCTGACTAAGACTTGAAGGCATGCCCTAAAATGTACACTGTCAAATTGCCAGAGTGCTGAAAGCAAAATTCAGAAAACCTTGAAAGTGATGCTACGGAAAGGCTCATTGGATAGCAGGTATAGCCAGGAGGATGGCAGCTAGCTGAGTATCATAATCTCAGGAGCAGAAGGGAGAGGTGGAATGGATCAAAGTCCCAAGAAAAAACCCTCTGCAAGAATTCTAAATCCAGCAAAACTGGCCCTCAAAAATAATAAAGTTATTAAAGTATTCCCAGATAATCAAAAATTTCCCCAAAACTAAATGTAGAAGGGCATTTTCTCATTTTCATGAGGGGAGCTTACCAGAATTCTACAGCACAAGGTGCCTGTCCCCACCTCAACACTGCAGCACAAGTTCTAGTCAACTTACACACGACAAAGAAAAAAAAGTACTAAAACTGCAGTGCTCCCCAAATTAATGTATAGAGTTACTGCACAGTCTATAAAACGTACACCTGTCCTTTCTTACAGACTGGAAATGTTCATCCTAAAAGCTCATATGAAAATGCAGGCTCAAAACAATCAAAACCATTTAAAAATTAGACTCATGAATCTTAATGTCCAAACCAACTATTGTTATTAAGACTCATATTATCATGAGGATAGTCAAGAAGATCAATGCAAGTCATAAATATTAATTGAAATAAGCCAGTCACAAATTACTTGTCTGTACTCATTCATTAAAAACTAGAGTCAATCTTATAGAAGAACTGAATAGACTAGTGATCACTAAAGACTAACGAGAAATGAGAAGTGGGAATGGCACGGAAGTAAATGAGAGTTATCACAACACGGGTGTGTGGAGAGGGAGGGCCTAACCCTAGCTGCTGACAGCAGAGTAGGGTAAGCACTGCTGGGTACAATATGTGAGATTCTTCAAGCTGTCTAGAGTATGGAATCTACAACTTACAGAAATCACTAACATGAGGACGTGGAAGTACTTACTATCCTTGCTTGTTACACATTCCATGCACATATCAAATACTTGTAAGTTAGTCCATAAGCATGAACAAATATAATGCAACCAACTAAGAAAAAATGTAAGATGAAGTGTCAGGTGTCCGCAGGCACTTATGATAGAAAAGCCAGCCTGCTGTTATATCTAAAATAGGCAGAGTCAGCAACTGCTCCTTTGCCTCCTCTGGACCCATTAACCCAGTCTCAGGGGACGTGTGGCCAAAGTACTCAGTGAACCCTAGGGCCAGAGGCAGTGATGGCTTACGGATGCAAACCCCATATGGCTCAATGAACAACATCTCCCCAAAGCCCTAGAAGGCCTAAGTGACAGCAGCTTTGTGCCCTACCTTGACCATGGGTAAATATCCTACTCATTAAAATAAGCAGATATAATAGGCAGTAATATAGAACAAACAAAATAAAATGAACATCAAAAGTGAAATTAATACCTTGCTTTCAGCTAATTCTTTTTCCAAATTGCATTTTTCTTTGGCTACTTCTTTTTCTGTTTTATTAACCTGCCAAGGTAGAAAAAAAAAAGAAATGGATCAACTTTTAGAAGGTACATGTTCTACTATAGCAGAAGACAATATCCTACATGTCAATTAATACCTACACTGCAGAGAAAGTACATCCTCTCAGAAAAGGGGTCAACAGGGAATCTCTGAGGCAGAGCAGACTTCACAAATAGCCCTGCAATTAGAAAGACACGCCCACATGTCAGATTCTGCCACTTTCCTCTAACTTCTAAGACAGGGCTGTGTCCTGTTAACTCTTGCTCTCCTGCTCCTTTGGAGCAAACGGGTCTTTAAATTCTGACCCTGTAATTAATAGGAGGACATGTAAATCACCCATTGACACAGTGACATGGGAAGAGCATACCATCACTATCTGGCCTAGACTACTTCCCATGCTGGAGAGTACACACTGCTTTAGTGGCATCTCTGACAATCTACTAAAAGGCAGTTTGCTTCTGTTCTCATCTTTTCCACTAGAGTATAACCTTGAAATGTCATTCTGTATCTCAGCTAGAAGGGAAACCTGCTCCTACCTACCTCCCTCTGAAACCATTCATTCTTCTCCAGCAGAGACTTCTTTTCCTGCACTGATGCTTCCAGTTCACCTTGTAGTCTTGCAATAGTTGATTCCAGAAGTTCTTTTTGTACCATTGTCCTCTTCTCAGCCTCCTGTGCTTTCTGGAGACACTGATTGTGCTCAAGGATTAAACGGTCTCTGGAGGACAAGAATAAAGAGTCATCAAATTAGCCAAGTACTACTAGGCCAGAGGGTAAATGTTCTTAACATGACTGCCAACAGTTACCAGAATGTAACTGAGCAAACTAGTTCCTCAAGAGCAAAATTCTTTATCCCTACAGGCTCACAAATGTGGGAACTACTGTGAGTGAACAGAGAGCTATGCATGTGTGACATCGATTACTTACAGGTGCACACATGGGACACTGCTTACTTACAGGTGGGCATGTGGGACACTGCTTACTTACAGGTGTGTCTGGAGTTGTGCTTTATCATTCTGCACAGTTTGAAGCTCGCCTGTGATGCTGGCATGGGCTGCATCTAACAGTAAATTTTGCTCTTGAAATGTCTCTGTTATCATTTTCTGCTCCACCTGAGAGAGTAGTAGGAAATGCTGATTTGCAAGTTGATGAGTTGATATTTAAAGTAACTGTTCAAAGATACTAGGCTCACTTCAAAACCTGTTTCATTTTCATAAGCCTTTATAAAATAGTTTGAGTACGCAGTCTTCTCTTTGGCTACAGTTCTGTCATTTTACAGTTCTACTAGACAAGATGAGGAAGTATTATTTACCAGCCTTGAACATATTTTGTCAAACTATAAAAGACAACATATTTTCAAAAATAAATTTATATTAAAATATTTTAGCATCTTAAGAGCTTAATATGACTTTACTTTAAAATATAAAAATAATAGAAACTCATCCAAACATTACATGAAAAGACCTTTCATCTCTCTTTTCTCCTTCCCTCCAAACTGTCTGTGGGGGAAGTGTTTTCAGCAGTTTGGTATGGATTCCTTTGAGGTCTCCTGTGCTGCCCTCAGATGTGCTGTGCTAATGGGAGCATTCATTGCTTTCACCATCTTTCTGGCTCACTATTTTCTAATTAGCAACACTTCTACCTACAATCCATAATACTTTTTCAAGCCTTGTAACATAATAACTACATAGATTTTATTTAACTTCTTATTGGAAAAATAAGGATAACATGTAGGAGCTATAACAATTAGAGGCTGTAACAAATGTAAAATCCTTAATATCATATTAGTATATGCAAAGCAAGCAAGCAAGCAAACAACAACAATGCAGTATCTCACATACAAGTTACTACTTCTTAGTGACCAGAATTTGTAAAATTATCTGTTTTATTGGGATGATCGAGTTTTATGGTGAAAGTCAGTCTTAATAAAGGAGCAGAATTTCAAAATAGCTAGAGTCAAAGTTAAGAGTATTCTTAGCATACTGTAAAGAAAATGGCAAGTCACAGATGTTTTGGGGGAAATTAAGTATTTGAGATGCAATTGTAAGTATACCAACATCAAGGGCTAGAGAGATGGCTAAGTGGTCAAGAACACTTGCTGCTCTTGCAGAGGACCTAGGTTTGGTTCCTAGCACCTACATAGTGGTTGACAACCATCCATAACTCCAGTTTGAGGGGCTCTAATATCTTCTTCTGATGGCCTCTGGCACTAGGCAGGCACGTGCTGCATATATATACATACATACATACATACATACATACATACGTACATACAAGCAAAACACTCATATACATAAAATAAGTAAAGTATATATCATTATTAAATATATATTAGAATAGGTCATTACTTTTCCTAGAGTGATATTTGTATGGAAAGCATTAAAAACCATTGAATTGTAAAGCCAAGTCACCCCTTTCAAAAAAGGAGGAAACTACTAATCAACAGCTAAGGGGGTGGGGGTAGAAAAAATAACAACTGGGTTATAATAACAGCCTGTAATCCCACCATTTTCTAGGCTGAGGCAGAAGGATTGTGAATTTCAGACAAGCCTGCTGAGGTACATACGTCAAGCAGAGGCCGAGGGGTGAAGGCGCAGAAGGGTGGAGGGTGAGGTAGTACAATCACAAGTCTAGGTCATTTTAGCTCAGTAATGAATCAGAGTTCAGTGTGGGATAAATAAAACTGTTTTGAAAGGAAGGAAGGAAGGAAGGAAGGAAGGAAGGGAG